TTTACTCCTGAAAGCAAACAAATGGGCATTATTGTTCAGGTGAAGAGGTGCTGCTTAAAGTTTTAACACGCAGTACATTAATTAATATCTAGGAACATGTACTGTACTGTGATTTTGTCTTCACGTGGTAAATGCCCATTTTGTTCCTCTACTCCATGTCCATTACCTTCTGTTTTTGCATTTTTTTCTTAATTTTGCCTTTTTTTAAAAATTCTTCCCTTTCTGTGGAATTGATTCTAATTGTGTTACAATCTAAAATTATTAGAATTTCAAAAATCATCATTCTATTAGGCAAAAATATCTTCAAGCATGCTTATGAACGTATCTAAAATGGAAAGCGTGGTGCTTTCTCGTTCCCCCTGTCCGTTGCTCTCTTCAGGTAAACGAAACAGTGGAGAAGTTCAGGCATCTAGAGGTCATGTTTACTCGTGATAAAAATTTTGAGGAAGTGATCGATCAGTAGATTGGAATGATCAGTGGCAGTCTTCATGGAGTAGCTCAAACCATTGTGGATAAAGCATAGTTGAGTCTGAAGATTAAGCTCTGTGGGTTCAATTCGATTTTAATGTAGATGCTCCCGTATTGTCATGAGTCATGGGAAATTATGAAAAATTTTGATCCCTAGTGCAGATGGTTTCTGAACTTTCTGCGCTCATTAGTCTCGACATGGTCAGGAATTCAGATATACAAGAAAGCCTTTGTCTATTGCCACTGCTTTTCCAGATTGAGAAGTCATAGCTGTGATGGTTTTGGCATATTTTGCGAATACTTCCAGAAGGAAAGGAGAAACCGTTACTTCTTTACAGTCAAGCAGCTAAATACTCCAGGCAGCCTAGGTTAATCCGGGGTAGGTGTTTCGACACACTGTAGGCTGCGGTATCTCCTGCAGAAACTCAAATGCTGGCACAGAATTAATGACGTTAGAGGCACTGCCTCCGTGAACTGAAAGGATAAGCGTTTATCGGAATTTAGCAACTTACTGATCAGTTTTATTGTGGTTAAACGAGAATATGTGAGTGCAAATTATTGTTTTATCAGGTGATAAGCTGCTACACAAGTTTCTATGAACGTTTTTCAGCGCGAGACATTTGGTACTTTATTCTCATGCATACACCTAATTGATTCAGCTCCTGCGTGATCTGTTTCGCTGTGTAGCAGTGTCATATTTTTATAAACAACTTAATCACAATTCACAAACGAGTCAATATTTTTTATCATGATCACTGACAGAATGTATACCAAGTTTAACACATAACGATTAATAAAGCATCAGGTCAGTATTAGGAACATATTCTGTTCATTGTTTTTGTGACATGATGTGTGTTTTGGACTTGTCTGGATGTACAGAATTTCACAGATCTGGATCATCGAGTGAAGTTTTTTTCCATTAATTCTGTTATTTCGTCCTTCAGGCATGTTCGTATTTTTCGTCCTCCTCTACATTTGAACTGTAGAACGACGATTGTTTACTATGTTTTCTTCTGGATTTGTAGAGTGACCTTTAATGAATAGAACTGCTTAAATATCATAAGTAAGTGCATTTATCATTTCCTGATACCATTGTCTCGATAATCGACCATTGAAGGGTTAGCGCAATCCTGACTTTAAAGGAAAATTCTTTTCCCTGGAAATGTGATCGCATTTTTTGGTTATTGTGCGCACTCTAAGACATGAAAATTAAAGTTCCATTTAAGAGGCATTATGACATGAATGTTATGGAAAGTCTGCTGGTAACTGAAGAATTTCTCTTCATTTTCCCTCCTCATCCTCCTCGATCACTGACATAATTGGCGAAGAGCAGCATTTCACTGATATGACGTTACTAATGTATTTCCTTAAACTTCGTTTGTTCATAGACATTTTTCCCACGATTTGAAATAGATGACTTGAAGCAGGTCTGCCACTTTGGTTTCATAGTCCAAACTGCTCTACTTCGTTCCGTTTGATATGAGGTCCTCTCACTATAATAATGCAGTGGTATCTGCTTTTTTTCTGACACGTGGGACGACGCCTAGTACATTATGTATCAAGTGCTTTTTACTTGCTAGGAAGAAGAAACGAAGGTGATCACTTTTTTTCTGAAGGGGGCTGATGTTGTGATGAAGACAAAAGTTTGTTATAATGATTGGCTGGAAGAAGAGGTACGAATATTCGACAGGCTTCCATGCTTTTGTTTCATTTCGGCAATGAATATTGGTGCTTTAGTGCGCAAACTTGGCTCGCGAAGGACTGCGGACTCTGGTCGTGGCAAAATCAGTTCTGAGCGACTTAGAATACGAGAAATTTGACGTAATTCACTGTTATTGTCAATATTTAGAGTGTCAATTTAAAACACCGTCTTTGCGGGTTGCAGGTGCAGTACAATCAAGCGAAAACCAGTTTGATGAACCGCAGCATGAAGATCGACGCGGTCATGACAAGCATCGAACGAGATATGCAGCTCCTCTGCGTCACTGGTGTCGAGGACATGCTGCAGACCGATGTCAGGGTGACCCTGGAGTTGCTAAAGAATGCAGACATCAAGGTATGTTATGTGCTCAGGTTTCTTTGTGAGAAAATTCATTTAAATCCTTTATCTCGTCTTTTGCGAGAGTTGTTTCTGTCAACAAATCACCTGGGATGAAGCACCAGTTGTGAAACAGCGCTGTGCAATATATAGTAGAAGAAGCAGCAGGCATTGAGAGATGAAGTATGAGTTTCAGGGTATGGTCACGTGCTATCGCACAGTTTCTGTGCGCAGTAATGTGCAAACGCCAGTACAGCGTAGAATGTCAGTAGGTTTCCATACTGAAAACATGATGGAAGTAATTTCATGTCAACGATACCCTGTTAGGTTTCACAAAGTTTATTTTAATCAGTCGACTCCCGTTATAATGATTTAAGCAGTTGGTTTAGCCATTTGACAACGATACTGCCTGTTGCTGTATAAAGGTAAAGCCCATTCCATACTGTTTCGCAGGGATATATGTTTAATAATGACGAGTTGAATGTTATATGCTTATTGTCAAGTTCTGGTGAATGATGGCTTTCTTTTGTGTTCGTTTTTCGATTAAATTTAGATTGTGTACATATGTGGCCGACATCCATCTGAGTTTAATACCTTGAGTGATAATTCTGTAAGTTGCTTGAACATTTCTATTTTTGCTGAAACAAAGACCCTGCTCATTCCAAATCACTCATATTAGTCATGTGTGATAAAATCTGATGAATAAAATCGTTTGAGAAGGTTTTCTTGTTTCTTGTTGGCGATCACTCTATATTTGTGACATTCGTGAAAGTAGAAACCTTTGCTCGATTTCTAGTTGAATGTCATATACAGCACTTCGAAGATATGATTTAAAAACAGTTTTCGTTTAAGGTGTGGATGCTAACCGGGGATAAGCTAGAAACTGCGCTCTGCATTGCCAAATCGTCCGGAATCATCACGAGAAACCAAACCGTCTACACCTTTGACACAGTGACAAACCGAACCGATGCTCGGATCGAACTGAACAATTTTTCACGCAAAACTGGCGTCGCAGCGGTCATCTCTGGTGATTCACTGAAGGTAATGGTATTTGTGTGCCTGATGCGACGAAGCACAAACTTACAAAATCGTTTCAGGTTCTGTTATGCGAGTACGAGGAGGAATTTTCCGAATTAATGTCCAGAAGCCCAGCGGTTGTTTGTTGTCGATGTTCACCAGAACAGGTACTGTGAGATCACGATTCGATCTCGCATTTTATGAATGCCAATGCTTAATGTTTTTTAGGTCATCATTTCTTCATGCAATTTAGCACAATCTCTATTGATTGGGAACCTCACTTTAACTTGAGATGGGGATCTACCACCATGAGTATATCGAAATATGACGGCTAGTTTCAGTCCTTTGTCGACATTTTATTCGAGAAATATCATTATGAGAAGATGCTGATGTGACATTTTCTAAACGTCTATGAGCTTTATAAGAATCATACAACCTGATTTTTTTATCTTTTGACTGATATTGTACAATATGCCGTTTCATTTTTTGCTTTCTGAGAACCGTATACTGGTAATGCTCAGTTGGAGACCATGCAGAACTTATTATGATCTACCTCTTTGTGACACGGAACTTGGTCTTTGTCGTGACAGTAAGGCCAGGCTTTGTTTCGAACGGAACAGCCATG